TAATTCATATGGCGCATGTGGCGACATCTACGAGTTAACTCAAATCCTCTCACACATTATTGTTTACCCTTACAAAAACTATAAGTCAACTATGAGTCATTATGTAGAAAAGTAGCTGATCTATTAACAAAAATCTATTTTATTTTTTTCGCTTTAACATCCTGTATCTCAGTAAGGAGCAGACTAAGACCCATTATTGTTAATGAAAATATTATTATTTTGGCCTCCTGAACGTACATTTACAATTTGGCCCATTACTTAAGAATCACCCTGTATATACACCTCCAGATCTTCTACCCTCCTCCCCCCTTTCCAACCTTTCGCCTCCTCGCCATCATCTTTTGCCCTCGGCCCCCTCTCCCAAAATCAGCTTCCTGTCCATTGCCTCCTCCCTTAGCTCATTACACCTTCTCAGCATATAACTATTCCCCCTCTCCTCATTGCCACAGCGGTATCTGGCCACCAATCTCTTCCCTTCATCCTCCCCCTCCATCAACAAATATTTTGACAGTTCCTCTGTCACTAGTCACTATATCCCCATACCTTTCATTGTATCTCCCTTCTCGTATCTGTGACCTTCTTTCCTGCCTCTGTATATCCCTGTCCCTATCTCTCAGTGCTCTCCACATTTCACCTCTTTCCGCTCTTCTGTTTTCGATCCCAGTTAGTGAGTATCCCACTCTTCTATAATATTCTTCCCTGTCTCTTTGCCCATAGATCAGCTTCCTCTCCTTAATTTCCCTCCAGCACTCTCCCAGAATCCCGCAATGTGGTCTTGCTTCTATCATTTCCTCATACTTCACTGCTCTTCTTCCCGCCTCCACCCTTACTGCCTCCACCTTAACATCCTCCCTCATTACATACCCTGGAGTCTCCCTTGCCAACCCCAGTACCCATCTCCAATATCGTGTTTGTATATCCTCCAGCAAACCTTGTTCTCTCCATCTCCATACTTCTGCGCTGTACATCATTGTGCTCCTTACCAAGCCATCAAACATAACCTTTCTTTTTCCCACGTCTCTCCCAAAAGTTCTTTCTCCCTATCCCCAAACTTCGCCCAACACCCTGTTCGCTCTTTTTGCCATCGCCCTCACGTGCGCTCCGACCTTATTACTTCCCGGGAAACCATATCCCAGGTACGTGTACTCTTTCACTTGCTCTATCTCTCTTCCCTGCCACCTCCATTCCTCCTTCTTTCTTCTTCCCCCTTTGCAGAACTTCATTATCTTTGTTTTCTCGACGTTTACCTCCAACCCTTTCGCTTTAAAATATCTTTCCAGGGACCTCATCATCTTCTTCGTCTCCACCGCCCCTCTAGCCACGACCACCAAATCGTCAACGTACGCCAAGGCGTGCACCTTTGTTAACAAATATTTTTAAAAAATACTTGGAGTAATAAGTAATTTTATTTGAAACTAAAATTTCAAATACCCAGCACAAAGTAATTACTCGTTTAAGTACTCCAATTATATTAGTTATTTAGAGTAAATAAATGTGCTCTAAATAGCTTAAAAATATTTGCAGTAGGTCGAATCAGATGCTTGATTGTCAGAGATTGTTTAATTTTTTCTACCTTTATGTATAATGATACAATACTGGGAAGAAGGTATCCGTAATAGGTATGTTGATCTCCTTGAAGAATATCAAGGGTTTCTGCTATTGGTTTCATTATTTTTATGTATTCCTCCAGAACCAAAATATCATTCTGAGTAAATGTCGAAACTAATAATTTGTCACAGAGATCATCCAGTTTTTCTTTGCACAATAAAATTTTGTTTTGCGGCATCATATAAAGAGTTCTACCTGGTTACACTAAGATAAGTTAGTATATGACCCAAAATTTTAAGAATTATTTCACAGATTTTGGTCTTCTAGCCTTTTTTCACAACTTCGAACATTTATTAAGAACAGAACTGTTTTTGTTTTTTAAATGAGAATTTTGTAGTAGAGAGTAATTCTAGTCTGTTGTAGTAATTAAGTTTAATGTATGTGAGGCGTATCGAAGGTGTTTCGATAAACATATATGATGTTTACTAGTTGTTGGTTCGGAAGATTCTGCAACACTAGAAAATTGTAAATCTGAAACAATTTCAGTTCCTTCGCCTACATTTTATAAATCTGGAATTAGTGCCTCAGTTTCGGTCGTTTCANGTACGCTAAATGTATTATCAAAATTTTGAAATAAACGCTCGTAAATCATTATTTAAAAATTAACTTAAAAATCGAATATTTCACACCCTATATTTTTAAAGCATCGAAATATTTAAAATGTTTTTCAATTTAAAATGTGTATTAGAGTGTAATCTATCCAGAGAAGTCAATACATTGCCAAAGAAACTATTACTACTCTCTAAATTTCAAGATTTGTAAGAGTATGTAATGAACTTGCACAAAAAACAAAAAATTGAAATAACTCCTAAACTATTCAGCTTTGCATAAGGCATATTTGGCTTAATCAATTACAAATGAGCTCTAGAACAATGTATTTCAATATTCACGTTTATGTACCTGTATAAAAGTAATCCCAACCCAATATTACTCACCTACAACATTCATACTTCTCCATCTAAAATCGTCGATACTCATCAACTCAGGTAAATCAGTCTGGACATTAAACCTACTAACAACATCTTCCCTTCGAACCAACAAAACCGATTCGGAAACCAAATAAGACCAAACAACATCCTCTTGAACGCATTCAATTGGGTTCGCAAAATGAATCCCTTTAGGACTGACCCCAAAAATCATCTGATGATGCCAAGCATCAGGGATTTCCTGCACTTCCTTCTTTGCTTGTTGTATATTTAACGTTGCAATAGGAATGGCTCCATTTTTTAACCAAAACATTAACCATCGTCGTAAATTGATAATTCGTTCAGGAAACATATGAAAAAACCTTGCATAGACTTTCCCTTCAGTGACTTTATGGATGCAATCGATGATATCTTCATGGGTGGTACCAGCAGTACTTCTCGATAATAAATAATCAGTTAATGGCGCGGAATTTTTGCGTAAACGGGTGTTAATATTTTGTTGGACTTTTTGTACCGATGTGGAATAATTAAGGGCGTTTAGTGCGTTTAAAACGGCTGTAGCCCCACAAGCAGACGGTCCTATTTGCATGACAGTTTTTGTTTTGGCCTCTGAGGGAGTCCAAATCATTAAAGATTCGTCACTGTTATCAGGAGAGGTAATATCTTCAATCGGACTTGATTTATCGGTATCATTTGGTTTTAATAATTCTCCTATTGCTAAATGATACTTTTTTATTGAATACAAAGTACTTTTTGTACTTGTTCGTTCTTCTAATGGACAACTCCAAGGCATAAACGTACTATCAAGGTTGTTTTTAAAGACTTCGTTAGGTAATTTATTTTCATCGTGTGTTTTCTTTGATTTTTTGTCAACATCAACATTGTTTATTCTAACCTCACTTATTTGAGCACTATTTTCAGGTTGTTTTTTTACAATTTCTTTAATAACTTCCATTTTTGTTAATTCACCATTACAAATGTTATTTACTTTTACTTTTAATTCTTTATTAGTATCATCCACTTCCGTTTTTTGATCTAATAAGGGTTCATAATCACCATCAGCACAAGCTCCTCCAGGTCCTGGATCGAAATCCATCTCTAAATAATCCATTTCTGGGCTATAATTGTGTCCTCGACATACTGACTGTGCGGCAACTTCTTGTGGAATATCTAAACTAAAAAATGACACAGGAAGATCAGCATCTTGATCCCCTTTATATGTATAAATACACCCATCATCAGATATTGATAAATTATCATCGTCACTATCATTGGTCAACCTAAAGTTACGTATATCACATGTCAGATCAATTGTAGGTTCTTGTTGTTCAACACTACCACTACTACCATTAATTTCCAATATAAAACTGCAGTTTTCGGATACATCTTCAATGTTGTTATTGAGTTTTGTCTTTTTAGTTTTCGTTTTAACAGTTTTTACTTTCGGTATAGCACCTCTACTTTCCATGTTATTCCGCATTCCGTTTAATAAATTTGCGTTACTATCGCCGTTGGTTAGACCCCTGCTTGTGCCCGGTTCGTCTTGTAAACGCTTTTCCTCCGTAGATTGCATTGTTTTGAAAACCTAACCCAGTGTGAAAATGGGTGAGAGCCGGATGATTCAAATCACTGTTGAAATCGATTCGAGTGACGAAACTGTTCGTGGAAGTAAAGCGATCGAAAATCGCATCAAAACTCTATCTAACATGTTGAATTACCATCAATTTTTCTGGGTTTTTCGCGATAATTAAAATACTTGAACGCCATGTTTCTTTGATGTTTATACGCAGGTGCGAATTATATAATTTTTTATGATAATTCCAAGCTATTCTTGAAATGGATACGATTAGTGTACTCTTTTGTTGTGTATATTAATAGTGTTATCATTTGTGTATTTTAATCATGTAGTAATAATACGTAGTTTAGATTTGTGTTTGTTATTTGGGTTGCCTATTTAAAAGTTTTTATAAATTAATAATAATAATCTTATTATTAGAAAATTGTTTCATTTGCTTCTTTTATATCAAACTGTTAAGCAAAAGATATTTGTTTATGTTTACAAATTTTATATTAGATAAAGATAAGATATTATTTCAATTTTGGTTTTGTTTAAATTTGTTGTTATCATTTACTTCCTCTGTCCGACAATAGTTGCTACATTTCAGTTTCATGTAAAAATTATTGTAAATATGAAATGCACAAGCGATTTATCTAGGAATATAACAATCAAAGTGTGCCATGACCAAAACCGACTTAGCTATTGCACTTGTTTTGTGATAATTAGTTTCCTTATGTCAAATTTGATTTTTTGAGCGATTTAACCGCTATACATTACATTCAAAATGGACAAAAATATTTCGGAATACATTCAAACAGGTGGCAAAAAGTGTAGAAAGTTTAACAACGACCAACGTAAGCAAATCTTACATTATTTATTACAAAATGTCAGTCAAGGAAAACTTAAATGAGCCGCGATAGTTGCCGCCGCACGCAAGTTTTCTTGCAGTTCAACGATCTCCAAATTGTGGAAACAAGCTAAAGGTTGTCAAAATAACAATTCTGTCATTAATGTTGATTCCCTTAAAAAAAGATGTTGACGAAAAGCCAAAAATTATAGCCATCATTGCAAACATTTCTTCTCTTCCTTTGTATAAACGAACTACATTAAAGTCATTAGCTTACGTACAAAAAGTATATTGCATGACAGATTAAAGAAAGGAAAGGAAATAAAAAGAATTACTAGTTTTGTTAAACCATTGTTAGCTGAAGAAAATAAAAAGCGACGAATTGAATTTTGTTTAAAGTTTTTATTACCGTCAGAGTATTTCGAAGATTTGCTGAATTATATACATATTGACGAAAAATGGTTCTATGTAACCAAAGCTAAAAGAAGCTTTTATATAACTCCCGAAGAAGAACAGCGTTATAGACCTTGTAAGAGTAAAAGATTTATTACAAAGGTAATGTTTATGGCGGCAGTTGCTCGTCCACGTTGGGATTTTCATAGAAAAGCGTATTTTGATGGAAAGTCAGGAATTTGGCCATTTGCATCTTCTTCTCCAGCTAAGAGAAATAGCAAGAATCGGCCAAAGGGAACTTTCGTAACCAAAGCTGTGGAAGTCGTCAACAAAGAAGAAATAAGGAAAATGATTCTTCATAATTTAATTCCTGCAATACGGGATAAGTGGCCTGTTGGTTTTAAAAAAAACACAATATACATTAAACAAGATAATGTAAAGCCACATTTGTACAGTAACGATTTTTCACTAACTATTAAAACCGCAACCGCCCAACAGTCCCGATTTGAATGTGTTGGATTTAGGTTTTTTCAATTCCATTCAATCATCAACTACCACAAAGAAATATCGATGAATTAATTGAAGCAGTGAAAAAATCCTACTGGAGTATAAGCAGAGAAACTTTAGATAACGTATTTATTTCACTGCAAAAAGCAATGGGGTGTACATTATTACATAAAGGGTACAATACGCTTTACAAACCTTGGTAATGCGTAAGTGTTATTTTTGGATTTGTCCGCTATGGGGGCGCTGGTGGATTTTCTAATAATAATGGATATGATTAAGAGATGGCAGCACTATATACAAGCATTTTATTGTTTTTTAATATTTACAATTTTTCCTTGTACTATATACAGGATGTATCTGAATGACTGCAACAAACTTCAAGGGGTGATTCTTTAGTGAATTTTAAGGCTACTTTGATATATGAACCATGGGCGACTTCGGCTCCTCTAAGGAGCTACATCCCTCCAAAAATGGCGGAAAATTTTGGTTTAATTTGTTTTTCTCAAAAACCATAAACGCTAGGAAAATGAAATTTGGGGAATATGTTTAACTTATAATACGGCATGTTTTGACCCTACTTGTACTTTCAACCTACTTCTCTCAGAAATTATTAAATTTTCGAAGAACATCAGAGAGACAAAAAAGTTTTAGAATAGTTTTATCTATCTAACTGAAATTTTTCCGATGTATTTATCATCTTCATAAAAAAAATGTAGGCATAAATTGAACGGGGGTGGTTACGTTTAGTAGTTTAGAAGGGTAGGTTGAAAGTACAAATAGGGTCAAAACGTGCCCTATTATGAGTTAAACATATTCCCCAAATTTCATTTTCCTAGCGTTTATGGTTTTTGAGAAAAAAAAATTAAACCAAAATTTTCCGCCATTTTTGGAGGGGTGTAGCTCCTTAGGGGAGCCGAAGTCGCCCATGGTTCATATATCAAAGTACCCTTAAAATTCACTAAAGAATCACCCCTTGAAGTTTGTTGCAGTCATTC